TCCCATTTTTCCTTTTTTTTACACATTGTCACCAATCCAGTATAGTGTTATCATATACTGTAACTGGTGTGGCAGTGATCGGGGACACTGACTGATGACAGTATGCAAAACATAATAATAATTTATTTATTTATTTAAATGTTTTCCTTTTTTATTACATTTTGTTTTCTTTTTTCACTATTTTTTTTCAACACACTTTGACCAGAGCAATACAATGTTACCATAATAACATTGTACTACTCTGGGCAAGTGATGAGGATTTTTTTTTCTACACATTATGATTGCTAATACTAATGTATTTAATTGATATTATCAACCATTGCTACTGAATGAAACTGATTCATTCAGGCTTTTGTTGTGTTTAGCTTTGATTGGGCAAAGCTCATCACATGATACAGATGGGCTGTGACTGGCCCTGTCTGTACCATGTGACCAATCACAGCTAACAATACGATTGTATACAATGGATGGCATGAAAGGAAACCATCCATTGTATACAATTATCATGTGATCTGCTGTGATTGGTCACAGTGGTCACATTGCACTGGCAGCAGGCCAGAGTAGTGATCTGACATCAGCTGTGTCCCGTGGACACAGCCGGTGACAAATCACGCTGCTGCACAGCCCTGCGGTCGTGTGAGCGAGACCTTCTGACACAAAGTCCTATGACGTCCACTCAGAAGGAGCATCCCGCCTGGCTGTCAATCTTCTATATGCCGGGCGGGAAGGTGTTACGTGAAGAAAAGTTAAGTGAAGAATTTTTTCTCTCTATACTTTTTCTAGGTAAATGACAATGAACATTGAAACCAAAGCATCAACATTACAGCTAGGTAAGGAGCATCGTTCGAGGGAGGCCAGCCTACAATAATTATCTTATGACAGGTTTCTTTAAGCAATATATTGATAATCAATTTAATATACCAGTAAAACAATAACAAAAACAAAAATAAGAGCTTAAAAAAGAAAGGTTTACATTTTCAGAAAATGCTGTCTTAATTATTGAAGATCATGACATTTTTAATTAAAAATGTTGCACATTCTGTGTATTGAAGATATGTTAAAAGGATATAAAATAAAATGTATAGTAATTGTTATTGTGAACAAAATGTGTTATATCAGTGACATAGAACAATAAAAACACAAGGTCTCGAACCATTAATCTACGAAACTACTGAAGCTTGAAACAGTATCAACACTTCCATCATCTTGTTGTGACATGCAATCTTTAACTTTAAGCATTCCAACATCGATTAATTTAAAGATAAAAATCACATTTAACTTTTTGACCTAAGCTTTACCCTTCATAAAACAATGAAAATTTCAAAACTGTGTTTTGAAAATAACATCTAACTATTTATGTTTGGAGGTATATTTGTTTTAGACAGTTTGAGATGGGATTGCAATAAAATAAAGAAAACAAAGTTTTAATATCTTGAGGAACTTTGCAAAAGACAGTGAAGTCTAAGGAATATACAAAAAAAGGTTTAGTTTATTCCTGTATGTAGCCCAGTGCTGGCTAACTTACCTGTGTCACCGCTAGACATTCATAATAGGAACTATGTTGACCTAATGCTCCCTCTAGTGTTTAGTTGTAATAGTGACATTGTGTTCAGAGGCACCGAGAGAGAGGAGGACCCAGCGAAGAGCGGGGGGATTGTGGGACATGTAGTCCAGAAGGCTGAGATTTGCAAGGAGCCAACACTGTTGCGAACTACATGTTCCAGCCAGCTGGAGGAAGAGAAGTAGAATGCTGGGAGAGGCTATATATTTTGGACCCTGGAGAAAGCTCTTCTTTGTGCGACTACAGGCTGAAGCTGCAATGAGGGACCTGGCTGTTGTGGAGTGCTAAGTAGGCCACGCGGTCTGGATAGTGTGGAGAGTCTTTGGTGGGTGAGCTACAGACTTGCAAGCAGATCATCCATCCCCAGCTTTCTGTTGGCAGAGTGACTGACCAGAGACATGCGCTTCATCACCACCACAGTCACAGCAGAATCCTAATGTTACAAGGGGCTCGGCCAGGCACCCCCTACGCTCGTTGCAGATTCTGCTGGAGCCCTTCCAGGACATCTTGATTCTCCTGAGCTGCAATGTCAGCAGGATTGGTGAGCACGCAGATGCCCACTCCTCACTAAAGGACACTGCATACACACACCTTCTACCCCACGTCTTCTCATAAATTAGCAGTCTCTATCAGGAACCATTTGCATATATTATCCATTATTGCCACTCACCATTGCACAGCAAGTTCTCTGGACTCCTACTGAGCTAGGTAAAGATCCAGAACACTCTTTCCACCAAGACTCTCTTTTTACGCTCCTCAAGCCAAGGACTCAGTGCCTATATCTGTGCATATGTTAAAGGCGGTTCAGGATTCAGGATTATTTGTCCATACAATATATGCTGGTGGGAAATGACTTATGTTGGATATGTGAATGCGGTGATTTGGAGTACTGAGAAATTCTCAATCTGTTTACTTCTTACTGTGGTAACATCTATAATATAGAAAGGATTTGGTTTGAGGAATTCTGTGTATTTTTTAATTGTAATAATGTTGTATCATGCTAAAGGTTATATATTATAGATATCCCTATATTTTTCCCCTGAAGAAGCTGTGAAACCCTTCCAGCTGTGGTCCTCAATAGTGTTACAACATTGTGCACACTACTGAAAAGATCAAATATTAACAGAGTATATATTGTATGGACTTTGTCTATTAAACTGTTGCAATGATTGTGGAGCCTGGAATTTTATAATGTAAATCATGGGGATTAAATAAATGCATTTTATGCATGTTTAGTGATTAATAATGCCCAGATAAATTTGGTATAATTTTATATAAAATATATTATTTTTGCTTCTATAATAATTATGAAACTTCTGTATTTTAATAACAATTCTCTGTGCCCTCCACACAGTCACCCTGAATATGACAAGCTTTACCTGAACTGAGCCTGGCCTGGTAATTGACCACATTGTCGCCTGCAGCCTCACCCACCCATCCTCTGCAGACAACTGCACTTCTGGAACCACAGGTACTCCTTTGTTCACCATTTTAGTCAAATTAGCTGTGCAATTTATGCCCCTAGAAAGCCTGAAGGTGCTCCTTGGATTTTTGGCCTCTCTATGTGAATAGGTTGTGAAAAGGTCTCACACATGTGGTATCACCATACTAGGGAGGAGTAGCAGAATTTGTTTTTGGGTGTATTTCTAAGTGTGCCTATTCTTACTGTTAATTTTCATTTTTGGAACTTGGCCTGTTAATTGGTCATGGTGTTCCCTGCTGCCTGGACCAATCCTTTGGTTATTTTCTGACTTTGTCTCTGCTTGCTGCCTGTAGTGATCTTGGCTTGTATATCAACCATGTTTATGCATGCTGCCTGGACCAATCCTTTGCCTGTTTTCTGACCATGTCTCTGCCTGCCACCCATCTGCACATCCTTCTATGTTGCAGCAAGACACCAGTCCCAACCTTCCTCTGAGGACAACTATACTTCCAAAACCAGAGATACTCTTTTGTTCATATTTTGGTCAGCCTTCCGTATTTCCTGGTCAGTGAACATTGCATTGTGTTATGAGGACAGCCACGTACCCAGAGGTTAGACCTGCTTGGCTTTTCAGAATGAGGACTGCTGTAGGTGAAGCTACACTAAGCTATATTCCCTAACCACTGTGGGTGACAACTAAAGTACATTGTTTGCAGTGTTGGTTGATTTTTGTGATACACAAGATGTATGCCCCTGGAAAGCCTGAAGGTGCTCCTTGGATTTTTGGGTCTCTCTATAAGAACAAGCTGTGAAAAAGTCTCACACATGTGGTATCATCATACTCGGTAGAAGTAGCACAATATGTTTTGAGGTGTAATTTTAAGTATGCCTATGCTGTGTGTTAGAAATATCTTAATAATTGACAACGATGTGTAAACAAAATTCTTTCTGCATTTGATAAAAATGTATGAAAATAATATAACATTTTCAAAAGACTCACTATGTCTCTCAACAAGTACCTTGGTGTGTTTTCTTTCTACAATACGCACTTTTGTGGGTGTTTCCATTGTCCTGATGCTCCAGGACCTCCAAAAGTTTGATAGGTAGTCAGGAAATTAGATGCATAATTTAAGCCCTTAGAAAGTCCCAAGGTGTTTCTTGTATTTTGGGCCTATGTGGCTAGCTTGTGAAAAAGCCACACACATTTGGTATCACCATACTTAGGAGGAGTAACAGAATGTTTGGGTGTGTAATTGTAAGTATGCATATGCTATGTGTGAGATTTAACTTGTAAAAATGACAACATTGTGAAAAAACTCACCATGCCTTTTAATAAATATTTTGGACTGTCCAACTTCCCAAAATTGGTCATTTTAGGGGTATTTATAATTTAAGGCATCAATATTTGGAATTCAAAACATCATTATTGATCTGTTCTGTAATATGTATACCATAATTTATAGACGCTATAATATTTACACAGACCAAATAATATACACCTATTTTGTTTTATTGTTTCACCAAAGAAATGTAGCAGAATACATTTTGGCCTACATTTATGACTAAATAATATTTATTTGCAAAACACTTTAACAGAAAATAAGAGACTGTTTTTCTCAAACTTTACAGTTATTTTCCTTTAATATAGCACCACAAATTCAGTTTAGGGTACAGTGTTGCATGACTGAGTAATTGCAATTTAAAGTCTGACAGCGCTGAAAACCAAAAAATGGCCTTGACTAGAAAGGGATGAATTAGTTTGGTCTTCAAGTGGTTAAATGCTTTCACACTAATTTATCTAAATCCAATAACAAAAGATGTACAGTATACTGTATATTGCAGCCAAATAGTCCTTAAATGTAGTTGGATACATTAGCTTTTTTTGTTCAGGCTTTATTTATAGCCAAAAAATGTTGAGTCTTTTCTTGCATCAATATATATATATTTGTCAAACAGACTTACATCTATTAAATAGTGTTTTTGGAGTACCGTACAATTTACCTTTACATTTTGACAAAGTTTGGTAACACTTTGGACACTACAGCTACACTATATTGCACAGCTACACTATATTGCACAGCTACAATATATAAACGTATTGTGACACCCCACCAAATCATTGGAACCAGTTGTTCCAATAACCTCCATGGCCACAGGTGTCAAAAAATCAAGCACCTCAGCATGCAGACTGCTTCTGCAAACATTTGTGAAAGAATGGGTCGCTCTCAAGAGCTCAATGAATTCAAGTGGGGTATCGTGGTAGGTTGCCACCTGTGCAATAAGTCCATCCATGACATTTCCTTGCTACTAAATATTCCACAGTCAACTGTTAGTGGTATTATAACAGAGTGAAAGCAACTGGGAACAACAGCAACTCAGTCACAAAGTAGTAGGCCACGTAAAATGACAGAGCGGGGTCAGCGCATGCTGAAGTGCACAGTGAGCAAAAGTTTGGTGGAGGGGGATTATGGCGTGGGGTTGTTTTTCAGGGATTGGACTTGGCCCCTTACTTCCAGTGAAGGGAACTCTTAAGGCAGCAGCATACCAAGACATTTTGGACAATTTCATGCTCCCAACTTTTTGGGAAGAGTTTGGGGATGACCCCTTCCTGTTCCAACATGACTGCGCACCAACGCACAAAGCAAGGTCCATAAAGACACGGATAAGCGAGTTTGGGGTGGAGGAACTTGACTGGCCTGCACAGAGTCCTGACCTCAACCACATAGAACACCTTTGGGATGAATTAGAGCAGAGACAGGCCTTCTCATCCGACATCAGTGCCTGACCTCACAAATGCGCTTCTGGAAGAATGGTCAAACATTCCCATAGACACACTCTTAAACCTTGTGGTCAACCTTCCCAGAGGAGATGAATCTGTTATAGCTGCAAAGGGTGGGGCAACTCAATATTGAACCCTACGGACTAAGACTGGGATGCCATTAAAGTTCATTTGCATGTAAAGGCAGGTATCCCAATACTTTTGGCAATATAGTGTATCTTGCTTTGAACAGGTGAGCATGAGTTTTTGTAGTTAAATATAAAACAAATGCATTTTATCAGTGTTATCTCCAGTGGGTGTTTGACAGTCCTTTATGATCCAGGTTTCATTCATTTATCAATCAATCACAAATTCCCTTCTCTGCACCATTCTCTGAAATGACAGGTGCAGCAATGCAGGCTAGTAACATGTTGGGCTGCCTCCAGCCAGTGGTACATCATTGACATCCAGTGGTCTACTGAAATAAACACTATTAACTGCTTGTACAGTCTTGCTGTCCCTACCCATGTTTTCTTGGCCAGGACAGGGGAAAAATTTCAATCTTTAATTTATGATCAGCTAAAAGAAAAATAACTGGGGATTTTTTTTGTACTGCTCCAGCAAAAACTTGTCTTGGGATGGTTGTTACTGGAGATGGTGGGGTGGGTGTTGGGGCAGCCTGGGGCCAAAGAATCATATACTTAATTTTTCTGCTTCCTACCCCTCTCTCCTTGTCCCTGAAGAAAAAAAAAATCACAGCCAAAGTACCTGGTTAGCAAACATGATCAAAGTTCGGATACCAAATTTGAACCCCACTGAAGTCAATGGAAATTGAATCTTAAAAATCAGTAATGGTTGTTTTCTGGGCTAATAGGAAAGAGATTGCCAAACAAACGACAAAGGTAGCTGGGCAGTAGCCTGTTTCCATGATTTTTTGTTTTTCTAATTATTTCTCAATGGGATTGAGGACCTTTACAAGTGGCTTCAAGGGCAACATTGAAATACAAAAATCTTTCAAATTACATTCATAGAGGATGCTTTGAAGCTGTTCATGTTGACTAGTGACACCATATTGTGGCATCACATAATTTGCACGTGTAGTAATTTAGTTTACTTGTACATTGTTCATTGGCTTGCATACAGCAGACATAAGCCAGTATTGAGGAGAAAGAGGGATAAATCCACTCAGCATAAAATTCATGGTTAAATTAAATGAAGTAAATCAATGCACAGACAACCCTAACATATTTTACTTTTAACTAAAGCTTAAAGAATAAGTCCACCTTTGGAACATGTTACATGTTTCACCTGTTTTTAGGGTGGAACATGTAACATGTTTCCATAGCTGCAGCTGCGCCTGATGCCCCCCTCTGACAGAAACTTCTCCCCATACTTTCTGTCAAAGTTGAAAACAGCATGGACATGCAGGGCTCCGCCTACACAGCCGAGTCATTCATTCACGGACTTACATGAATGAATGAACTGCAAGTACCGACAGCCTTACCAGCTGTGGTCTTGTAGTTTTCAGTGAACTACCATGGCGCTGTGGATCGCCATGGTAGTTCATTGAAGCTTCCTGTCAGTATATCTGCTTGACTGTACATCCCGTACATCCCGTACGGCAAGCAGATATTCTGACAGATCTGTAGGAGACCTGCATGGCATCAGTGATCTACTGATTGCTGGTGCATTGCTTCCCAGGCTCCTGTTGGACAAAAATAATAAATGCAAATTTTTTTACCTGCAAAAAATGTGTATTTATTATTTTTGTCCAAAAGGTGAACTTAATTTTAATCATAAAGTAGAGTCTATGATTAACCGCTTCTGCGCTGCTCCATAGCAGAAATACTGCTACAGGGCGGCACAGCTGTGCAAAATCACGTATATAAATATATATATATATATACGTGATTTTGCATTTCGGGGTAGGGGGTGCGTGAGCTTCCTACCTGCACTGCCATTCACGGCCTCGGCTGTCAATCACCAGGTCCCGGACAGTGATTTCCCGCTTGCACCGGCGCGATCTCCGAGTATCACTGACAGGGGGAGAGACCTGTATGTAAGCAATACAGATCTCTCCCCTGTCAGCACCTGCACACTGCTTCGTATGGCTTTGCATAGCAGAGGCATACAAAGTATTGTTCTTACAGTGTAAAGCACACACAACCCACATAGTAAAACTTCAAACAGCACACAGTAAACCCTTAGATCTCCCCAGATGTTAACCCCTTCCTGTGTCATTAGTACAGTGCAGTGCTTTTTATTAGCACTGATCACTATATTGGTGTCACTGGGGATGTCAGTGACACCAAGTCAGTTCCCCCCAGCATCAGAATGCCCACTACAGTCCCTCATTCCCGCTATAAGTCGCTGATTGAACACTCTCACATTTTGAATGACAATTGCGCAGTCATACAACATTGTACCCAAATTAAAATTTTATCATTTTCTTCACACAACTAGAGCTTTCTTTTGGTGGTATTTAATCAACACTGGAGTTTTTATTTTTTGCTAAATTAACAAAAAAACACCAAAAATTTTGAAAAGAAAACACGTTTTGTCTTTGTTTCTGTTATAAATGTTTGCAAATAAATAATTGTTCTTCATAAATGTAGGCCAAAATGTATTCTACTACATGTCTTTAGTGAAAATAACCCAAATTAGTATTTATTATTTAGTCTGTAGGAAAGTTATAGAGTTCACAAACTATGGTATAGATCTGAATATTGATCAATCCTGAAGTACTGACAGCCAGTCTAATTTCTTGAGGCCCAAGAATGTCAGAACAGTACAGATATCCCCCAAATGACCCCTTTTTGCAAAGTAGACAGTCTGACGTATTTCATAAGAGGCATGGCGAGTTTTTTGAAGTTGTAATTTTTCTGTCATAATTTTTTGGAAAGAAATAAAAAAAATGATTTTCACAATTTATTTTTTTTTTCACATACTGTCACCAGTGCAGTACACAACGTCATCATATAACTGGCATGGTGGTGATCAGGGACACTGACTGGTGACAGTATGAAAAAAAAAATTGATAATTTTTTTAAAAATTTTTATTTATTATTTTTTATTACATGTTTTTCTCTTTTTTTTAAGATTTTTTTTCATATTTCACTATGACCAAAGTAGTATAATGTTACCATAGTAACATTGTACTACTTTGGGGAAGTGAACTATATATCTTTTTTTTTTTTACACAATTTACTTATAGCAAAGAATTACTTTGCTATAAGCAAGCATTTACCTGAATGAAATCGATTCATTCAGGATTTTTTTCTTTTCTTAACTGTGATTTGGCCACAGCTAATCACATGACACTGTAGAGATGACAAAATCTTTGCAAGAGTATGGCTCCTGTCCCTTCTACACACCATCCGCCACAATGTGTGGTATCATTTTGCCTGTGCAATTGTGTAGCTCTGGTGGTCCAGAGCATGCTTCACCCAAAGAGGGCATTATGGTGGAGATGGAGTCAACTAAGCTTTCTCTGTCACCAGATGTAAGGATGTGGGGCTGCGCAACCAACTCCAATAGTGAGACCCATTCTGCATTTTTCCAGCTGCCAGCCAGCCCAGTTACCCAGGGAGCTGTGAAATATATATAATGGTCCTGCCCATACATGCTGGACCATGTGTCTTTGGACATGTAGACCCTCCTGCTGATGGCATAATCAAACAACATGGAAAAATGACCTTTCATATGATGGATTAATGACAGGACTGGCCACATGGGTGAAGAAATAACTTGGAATCAGGCACTGTGGTACAGCACAGGTTGCAAATTTATTAAAGGGGCTGAATCCATGCAGCATCTTCAGGTGATGTAGACCCTACTCCTTGATGCAACTGCATCCCTTGAGAGTCTTCTGGTGTAGCTGGTGTTCCACCAGAGATCTCCTCAAGGTTAGTTTGAGCTAATCTTCCGACTACCCCCATTCACCCAACATGTACAGGCATGGAGAAGGATAAGTGCTCTGTGACAAGGATCTGAAACATGAAAGAGGCAAGGGGCATTGTGCAACTGGAAGCAAGGGTGAGTCTGTAGGTTGCAACAGCAGAAAACCATACTGTGGATGCAGCAGTGATTCAACAGAGACTGCAGGTGAAGCTGAGATGCTAGGGGAATGTGTGTACTGTGAAGAAGCAGAAGATCCTGTATGAGTTGCATACAGTAGGTACTGAAAAGGTGGCTGCATTTGAACTGTTTACTTAAAGGTAGCTTTAGTAGCTCAGGGTAGCTTCAGCATGATAATGTTTTACTAAAGTGTATAGTTTAGGGTATGTCAAGTAGATCATGTAAATGTAGCTCTGAAAGCAATCTGAGTATTGACTTCACATCCAGCTTGAGTTTGAATATAAATTACAGTCACATTAAATGTAAAGCTCAGAACTGCACACAGCCACAAAAGCACTGGTACTGGAACAATATAGGTAGGTAACAACAATGAGTACATAGGACAATGTATGTAAAGCAGGCCGTAGACGAATCTAAATCTGAAAGTTCTGTCAAGAAAAAAATGAAAATAGCTAATACAATTGTGCCATCCATTGTTTAATTTTTCTAATAAAAATCCATCATGTTGTATCAGGCACTTTCGATTGCGGAACGAAAATCGTGTCGCAGCTGGCACACTAATGCAAAAAATGGACGATTTGAAATT